AAAAATAAATAAACATTAAAAAAAAAAATTTAAAAAAAATAAAGAAGACTGTCATAAAAGATGACATGCTGTGTGTGTATTTTTTGTGTTTGTATGAAATGCCAGCTCCACAGAATAGGCAATTCTAGAGAAACAGAAATAGATTATTAGTGGTATAAGGGAATGCAGGATCGGGGGGAATTGGAAATGACTACTAATGTGTTTGAGTTTTCTTTCTGGAATGATGAAAATGTTCTGAAATTAGACGATGGTGATGGTTTCAAAATTCTGTGAATACACTAAACACCACTAAGTTGCATACTTTCAAAAAGGGTGGGTTTTATGGTTTGCGAATTACTTCTCACAGCCATTAAAAATAAAATGGCAAGGCTAATGACTAATGAAAACAATTACAACATGTCACAAAGATGGTTAGTATTTGTGACACAAAAGGAGTTTTTTATGTAAAGTAATACAACAAATTCTAAGTGCCTTAATTTCCTCATTTGCAAAGCAGGACTCAGAACTGACCTTGAGGAGAGCTATAAGAATTGAATGAGATAACTGTTAATGTTGATGTTAGTTATTGTTACTATCCTCAGTCTTCATTTCACTTGGGATGTTTGAGAATCGGTGTGGAGAGAGGTTTAAATGTTTAGCTAACTAAAGTAATGCCTTGAGAGCAGAAATCGGGTATCGTGAAATTCTAATGATTCTGTTCTCTTGGAGATGATGCTTATTTTGTGTTCCTCGTTCATTTCAGGGCTGTCTGTGGCATTTCTGCTATGCACAGGTGCTAAATGAGTTGTCGGGGGGCGTGCAGTGACGATTCAACTATTGTTCCCCCTTTCAAGAATCTTATGATTTCACAGGAAAAAGGGAGATAATAGGATGATCAACCTAAGATGTGCAAGGGTGAGAGAGAGATACAGAACAGAGGAGAGGCAGTGGGAAGTTGGGAGTGGGGTTTCTAGGAAGGTTTCCCCAAAGTGATACCTGAAAGGAGAAGGACGAGAAGTGACTTAGGTGACACGAGGGTGGAGGAATGGAGAAGGGCAATGAAGGTAGTCATGTAAAGCAAGGGGGAAACCCAGGATTAGCCTAGAGCATAGTAAATACTGGAACAACCAATGGCCATGTGTTCCTTGACAGTGGTGGGATAAGGAGCCAAGAACCGGGTTCTGAAAGCCCCTACGAGGCCTTCAAGTGAGCTTTTGATTTTTATCCTAATGGCGACTGGAAGGAAGCTTTTGAAATTTTCATCAAGCTGTAAAAATCGCTAGGTTTTTGGCTCCTAAGGGTAATTTTGAGGCCTCAATGAAGGAGGAATTGAAGAGGAATCCATCCGGAAGGAGGAAGACCTACAAGAGAAAGGAGCATATTGTAGTTTGGGCAGTGAGTAAGAGTATGGGTTAGAGGGCTTGTTCAAGAAATATTTAGGAGAGAAAATGGCAGTTCAGTTGTTGGTGATGGTGGAGGTGGGTAGAGTGGGAAGGGGAAGAAGTGGCTTCAGGGTTATCTTAGGTTTCTAGGTGGGTGGCTGTGTTGGTGGTGTTATACCACTTGAGATATTGCAAGAAAAGTGGTGAGTTTATTCTCTTAGAAAGCAAGAAAGTGATTCATCAGGTATTTCCATTTTGCTCTGTAGATAATTCCTTGATAATTTTCTTTTGCCAGCACTTTGACACTATAGCTGTTGGGTATCTTTGAAGAATAAAACTTTACTTTTAAAATCTGTAGATATGGGACACCTGAGTGGCTCAGTCAGTTAAGCATCAGACTCTTGATTTCTGCTCAGGTTATGATCTCATGGGTCATGAGTTCAGGCCCCGCGATGGGCTCTGCTCTGATAACACGGAACCTGCTTAAGATTCTCTCTCTCCCTCTCTCTCTCCCTCCCTCTCTCCCTCCCTCTCTCCCTCCCTCCCTCCCTCCCTCCTTCCCCCTCTTCCTCTCTCTCTCTCCCTCTCCCTCCCTCCCTCCTTTTGTCTCTTGCTGTCTCCGTCTTTGTCTTTCAGAAATAAATAAACTTAAAAAAATTTGTATATGAATAACTCTTAATTTTGTTTTAATCTCTAGGAAGAACCTAAGAAAGTCCGCTTTGATTATGACTTATTCCTGCATCTTGAAGGCCATCCACCAGTGAATCACCTCCGCTGTGAAAAGCTAACTTTCAACAACCCCACAGAGGAGTTTAGAAGAAAGTTGCTGAAGGCAGGCGGGGTAAGTGGCACTGTCTTGTGAAAAACCTTTGCATCAAAAAATAGATGCTAGTGTGTTAAGTGTAATAATGTGAGAGTGGTAAAAGAGAGGAAGTACCTTAATGACCTAGCTATGGACTCATGGTTTGGGATAAAGAGGTACGCAAACAATAATCTTTTAACTAGGTATGAATCTGAAATTGCACTGTTGGTTAGAATAGCTTTATAGTCCACACAGTTGAAATCTGTTTTAACAAAAAGCCAAAAACAATAAACCCTGCTCAATTAAAAGCACAATGTGTGAACTTTGTTATATCAGTTTATAGAAGCTTTTAGGTAAAGTTGGAAGTCATGTTTAAAATTAAATAGGTTATTATCCAGATTTTCTTGATAAAAATTAATAGAAAAGGTATACTCATTCACATTACATGTTTACGTCGTTTAAATACACCATTTACTTTGTTTGCATTATATGGTGGTAAAAGGTGGATTTCTTTTTTTTTTTAAGATAATGATAGCCAAGGTGTGATAAATATTTTGTCAGTGTGATTTGGTTAGGATGGGGAAAGATTTTTTTTTAATTAAAAAAAATTTTTTTTTAGCGTTTTTATTTTTGAGAGAGAGACAGACAGCCAGCAGGGGAAGGGCAGAGAGAGAGGGAGACACAGAATCCGAAGCAGGCTCCAGGCTCTGAGCTGTTGATACAGAGCCCGAGGCGGGGCTCGAACTCACGAGCTGTGAGATCATGACCTGAGCCGAAGTTAGATGCTTAACTGACTGAGCCACCCAGGCGCCCCTTTAATTTTTTTTAATGTTTGCTTATTTTTGAGAGAGAGAGAGAGAGAGACAGAGACAGTGTGAGCAGGGGAAGGGCAGAGAAAGAGGGAGACACAGAATCTGAAGCAGCCTCCAGGCTCTGAGCTGTCAGCGCAGAGCCCGACACAGGCTTGAACTCACGAACCATGAGATCATGACCTGAGCCAAAGTCAGACACTTAACCAACTGAGCCACTCAGGCACCCTAGGATGGAGAAAGATTTTTAAGTGGAGTTTCTTGTAGCACAAACATATGGAATATTTGCAGCTGTCAGCTATACAGACAAGCTCTGTTTACCAGTGGAAATCTACTCTACTGTGGGTGCCATTGGAATCACCGTCCTCATTTTACTTCAGATGAACTTCCTGTGTCCTCTTATGTGGGCAGTTCAGACCCCATGAAGTGTTGAAACATGTTCCCTTTTTAGAATTTTCTTCACTTCACTTTAGTTTTTCTGGAAGGTGTTTGATAGTTTTGCATCCATGAACTTAACCATTATGTGCAAATGTGCGGACCGTCACTGCGCAAAATGCCTCATTTCTACCATAAAAGCTACCCGAGGGCTATGCAGGGAAGAACACAGTTTTTTCCCTTTATTGCAACCCCTTTTTGTGGGCTTATCAACAACCACTTTGAGAAGTTATGGACCCTCTCAGAAGAGAATCACCCATGTATGCACTTGTGTGAACATTTGGGGTTACATGGAACTCCCGAGGTCCATGTTTTGGGAGTCCAATTTTGCCAAGCTCCTGTCCTTACAGCTGAAATACTAATATGCATTTGAAGCATTGTAAGTACCTTTACACACTTCATTCAGCATTGTACTATGTCAGTAGATTATGGGTTAAATAGGTATTGGGCCAGCTTTAGAAAATGAACCACCACATACAGTATTTTATGGGGAAATATATCTGCATGAAGAAATAGCCTTTGGTAATACAACTCATTTTAAAGTTAGATATTTGTTATACATTTATTAAGGAAGTGATGTTTTTTTAAAAACCTGTTTTATTCTTTTTGTAGTTACCAAGAACACAGTGTTGATGCTATTTACCTGTGGCTATGCCCTTAAAAATGGAACTGGTCCATTCTTGGGTATTTACCCAAAGGAAATGAAAACACTAGTTGGAAAAGATATATGCACCTTTATGTTTATTGCAGCATTATTTACAATAGCTAAGGTATAGAAGCAATCTATGTGTCCTTTGATAGATTAACGGATAAAGAAGATGTGGTATATATGTATAATGGGATATTGCTCAGAAATAAAAAATGAATGAAATCTTGCCATTCACGACAGTGTGGATGGACCTAGAGGGTGGATATTCTTTCAATTTTTTTATTATTATTTTAGAGAGACGGAGAGAGAGAGAGAGAGAGAGGAGAGAGTGTGTATGTGTGTGTGTGTAAGCAGGGGAGAGAGAGAGAGGGAGAGAGAGAGAAAATCTTAAGCAGGCTCACACTGAGCCTGATGCAGGGCTTGGTCCAATGACTCTGCGATCGTAACCTGAGCCAAAACCAAGAGTCAGATGCTCAGCTGAGCCACCCAGGTGCCCCTAGAGGGTGGATATTCTGTTAAGTAAAATAAGTCAGAGAAAGACAAATACCATGATTTTACTACTATGTGGAAACTAAAAACAAGTCAAACAAACAAAGCCGAATAAAACAAACAAAAAAAACCAGAAAATAGACTTGTAAATACAGAGAACAAACTGGTGGTTGCCAGAGGGGTGGAGAGGAGAGGGTTGGTGAAAAATGTGAAGGGGATATAGAGGTACAAACTTCTAGTTATAAAACAAATAAGTCACGAGTATTGAAAGTATAGCACAGGGAATATAGTCCGTAAGATTGTAATAAGTTTGTATGGTGACAGATGGTGGCTACATTTATGGTGAGCATTTCATAATGTGTATAGTTGTCGAATCACTCTGTTGCACACTTGAAACTAATACAATATTGTATGCCAATGGTACTTCAATCAAAAGAATGAACTGGTTTATTTTAAATCCTGATTCTCATTTTCTTTCTATGATGGTGGCATTTTATGCTTCTGATTATTCCTCTCGGCTCTGTAGTTAGGTGGGTAATTGGAGCCTGTAGATTCTGGAACTCGAATATAGCAGGCTTCTGATAAGAGTTGAAGGAAAAAGTAAATATGACACAAGAACTTTTAAAAACCCCACTTAGTCCCAGAGTACTTAAGGGTTGCTTGCGAGCTGGGGAAGAGGTTACAGGTCAGTGATAATGCAGCAGGGTGCAGGCCTGCGTCCTGAGAGGGTCTCCAGTAGATTTCTGTCTCACTCTTGTCAGCCTTTATCGCAGAATTATCCTCCTTGACTTCTAACTTTCCTTCTTTGTGTTTCTTTTTAAGTGCTGTTTGAAGCCTACAGATTTTTTCCTATTAAACTTAGAGGGTGTCTTGACACCTCTAAAATAAGTTGAAATGTGAAACATTCAGGCACACCAGTTACTTCACATACATTCTTTAAAGGACTGATGCCAGTAAATTTTGTGGTAAAATTAAAATTAAAAAAATTGTTGAAGTAATGGTAATCCCATAGATTTGATTTTAAAAAATCCATTGAATAGGGGAATATTAGTCTTCTATAGAAATGTGAGAATCTATAGACTAATAAACATTTTTTGGCTTACCTAGATTTTTGGCTACTTTGTATTGTTTTTACCTGATGTGTAAACATTTATCATTGTGTTAGTTTATTAATACAGCCGATAATGACGTTACTAACTTATGAGCCATTTTGATTTTATTAGAAGTATATTTTTTAAGGGGCATCTGGGTGCTCACTTGGTTAAGCCTCTGACTTCAGCTCAGGTCATGATCTCAAGGTTCGTGGGTTCGAGCCCCATGTCGGGCTCTGTGCCAACAGTTCAGAACCTGGAGCTGCTTCGGATTCTGTGTCTCCTTCTCTCTGCTCCTACCCTGCTTGCGCTCTGTCTCTGTCTCTCAAAAATGAATAAATGTGAAAAAAAAGTTTTTAAATAATAATTAAGAAATCTTTTTTTTTTTTTTTTGAGCTTTACTGGAACAATTGACATACATATAACATTGTATAAGTTTAAGGTATACATTGTATTGATTTGATACACTTGTATGTTGCAGAATGACTCCCACCATACATCTCCATCACATCACATAATTACCATTTCTTTTTTTGGTGAGAACATTTAAGATCTGCTTTCTTAGCAACTTTGAAATAGTAATTCAGTAGCATTACTTATAATTGCCCTGCTTTCTGCTAGATCCCCAGAACTTACTCATCTTATAACTGGACATTTGTACTGTTTGACCAACATCCCCACCCTTTCCCCCACCCTGCAGCCCCTGGTAGCTACCAATCTAGTCTCTGTTTTTAGGAGCTCAGCTTTTTTAGATTCCACGTATAAGCGATATCGTGTTGTATTTGTCTTTCTCTGACTTTCACTTAGCTTAATGCTTTCGTTTCCACCACGTTGTCACAAAGGGCAAGATGTCCTTCTTTCTCGCGGCTGAATAATATTCTGTTATTTTATCCATTCACTTATTTCCAGATCTTGGCTGTTGTAAATAATGCTGCTGCAATGGACACAGAAGTACAGATGTCTTTTCAGTATCCTGTTTCCATTTCCTTTGTACACACACACACACACAATTGGGATTGCCGGATCCTGTGGTAGTTCTAGTTTTAAGTTTTTGAGGAACCTCTGTATTGTTTTTCTATAGTGGCTGCATCAGTGTCCAGTCCCACCAACAGTGCATTCGGGATTCCATGTTCTCCCTATCCTTGCCAATACTTGCCATTTCCTTTCTCTTGGATGATAGCCATCCTGCCAGGTGTGAGGTGATGTCTCGTTGTGATTTTGATTTGCATTTCCCTGATGATGAGTGATGTGGAGCACCTTTTTATGTACCTGCTGGCCACTGTGTGTCTTCTCAGGCAGCGCTTTAAATCGGATTGTTTGTAGTTGCTGCTAGATTAAGGTGTATGAATTCTTTATATATTTTGGGTATTAAGCCCTTATATGATTTGCAGACATTTTCCTCATAGGTTACCTTTTCATTTTGTTGCTCATTTCCTTTGCTGTGCAGAAGCTTGTCAATTTGATATGGTGCCACTTGTTTATTTATGCTTTTGTTGCCTTTGTTTTGATGTCTGTTAGATATCTTGGTCATGACTGTGTCTCTTTAGATAAACTTTTTTTTTGTTT